AGTCTATAGAACAAGTCATCACCTCAAATACTTCAACTTAAATAAATAATCTCAGTTGTTTAATTTCCACTGCTTGACTTTATGCATATACTGATTAATAAAAGATTTCTTGATCAAATATTTTAAGTGCTTCCTTCTGATCAAAATCAAACACGTAACACGATCTTAGCTTTAAAAATATTGAGTTGACAAAGTTAAAATTTCTGATGAGCTCAATTCTAAAAAATTTACAATTTGGATATTAAACCAACAAACAGGAGTGTTAATATCAACATAACAGAAGTTTTAACATCAACATAACAAAAGTTTAACATCAACATAACAGTAGTGTTAACATCAACATAACAGGAGTTATAACATCAACATAACAAAAGTTTAACATCAACATAACAGGAGTTTCAACATCAACATAACAGGAGTTTAACATCAACATAACAGGAGTTTTTAACATCAACATAACAGGAGTGTTAACATCAATATAACAGGGAGGAGCATTAACATCAACTATGACTAAGTTAGCTTTCAGAGATTCAAACTAGATATAAGCTGGCTGTGCACAGAAAGTTCAAAGGACCAGAACATAATTTACAATCATTTCACCAAAAGGAAAAAGCTACTTAAATTACATATAATAATAATAATAATAAAGAAAGCTATAATCACGCCAATGACATAACCTAAATGTTATTCCTCAACATGTCACATTAAATGTACTTACAGGTAATACAGATAACTTGTTTCTTGAAAGGTTCAGTATTTCCAAGTTCTTCCAGGCATCTGAAATTACAAATACAGTACACAAACTTAACTATGTGAAACATCAAACTGTAACTGTATATTTGATGTATAAAACCGACATTTGCAACAAATGTGTTTGTTACTCAATGACTACATTCCTAATGACAGTCCTTTTATAATCAAGTAGGTTATGATAAAGACACAGTATTGTTTAACACAACTATATATTATCCTTATGTGTATGGTTGGGGGGGAGTCAAACTTTGCAAGCCATGATCTTTTACCCTACATTACTGATTTAGTGGCGATTCATGGCAGAGGAGAGAAAGTACACGGATACTGAAAAAAAAACTGTAGATAAGTATTTTGAAGGATTTGGAGATTATGTAAATACAGTATTCAAGCTATATGATGGGCAAAAGTATTATTATTCTTCACATGAACATTACCTTGCACTAAGACTTGTCAGAGTCAGACCGACATCATTTCACAGACAGATCTTGAATGCAAATACTTTTGTAACACATCTGACTTTCTGTGTAAAAACAGACTTGTACATTTTACTAAAAGCTTGCAACATTTTGCTTATATACACTTAGTAAATTCAGAATTATAGTCAATATTCCTTCTCGATTAAGGGGTCCGTTCAATGGAATGAGCCTGTGTGCATTTGGTTAATAAAGAACATTATAAACACACAGTAGCGTACAACATAACACTGCATTAATATATATGATAATGAAACAGTATTGTAGCAAAGTATAAATAAACACAGTAGTATAAGACACAACTTGGTATACAGTTAGTTTACTAAAAGTGAAGAATTTAGGAACCACATAGTAGTACAAAACCTTACATGAAGAAAGCAGCATCAACTTACCCCCAGCAGCTGAAGAGACTTCAGAGATGCTATTGTCACTTAGATTGAGACGTTTCAAGTTCACAAGAGTATAAAGAACATCAGGAACTCGAGGTAACTCATTCTGAGACAGGTCTACATCTGTGGAAGTAAAATTGATAATTAATATATATATTTTTTTTTGCCTAGAAGTTATGTAAAAATAATAATTAAATTATAAAATCAGTTAACTTGATAACCCTTCCTGCCATGTTTCAGATTCTTTAGCATTCTTGGGCAAAAATACATATACAGACTAGGATGAAATACAAGTATTGAAATAATTTAGGAGTCTTTCCAGCATAAATGAAAACTTAAAGACTGAATATACCATCTGTAAACTTTATATTTCTAGTACAGACTAATCTTTAACTTTTACATCACTCCCCCAAAAAAATCTAGGCATGTTGATCACATATTATTTTTCAGCTTTTATATATAATAAATTAGTTTTGTATCATTTAGTAAAAAAAGAAAACCTCTGTAAACACCATTACATTTGATCTGATTTGTTTTAATGATCATTTCATTAAAAATTTAGATTAATTTCAGCTTTTTAAATATACCCCCCCCCCCTTAGTGGAAAACCTGAACTGTACCGAACACTTCATCCACACCTTTTCAGAATATGAAATTAACTCTCTTCCTAATAACAACTGATTTCCTGAAGTTCCCAATTTTAGGTGTTTTTTTATTCTTGTACCCTGTTCAGAAAAATTTAAATATTTATAACTTACTTTCCTTAAATCTTATAAATCAAATGCATAAAACATCCTCAAAATTTCACTGAGCTGCAATTCCAACCTACTAAACGTTTTCAAACTTCAACAGTTAATTGTCTAAAAGCTCTCAATAAATTGGTGCCACAGCACTATGAAACATGTCAGTCAATTTACTGTTGCAAGTGTGAAAAAAAAGTCATGTGTATTTATTACCCACAAAATAATGCAACTGTAAATGAATTTTTTTTTTAAATACCAATAATTTTTATATGTTGGGTAAGTATTTCTATCAAAATATTTCACTAACCATTTACCCAAAATGTTTTTTTCAATATGAAAGGTCCTAACATTTTATACAAAAATCCTCGTATCAACACAAGTTTCATAAACTATCCATAATTTGCTATTTTTTACTTCTATAAACACATTTATTTGTTCAAAATTTTAAGTTTTAAATATAACTTCATAAAGAAAGAAATATTCAAGTACAGTTTTTCTATTCTGCTAATTTATGTGCTTTATTTTGGACCTCACAAAAATTGATGCTCTGATGTTTTTCTTCAGACAGACCACAAGTAGCAATGCCAGAAAACTTATCTTAATCCAGTTTCTGATCCTACTTTTAGCTTCAGAGCAAGACTGAAAAAGACCATAATTTTGCTGTGTAATATGGCTCATTTCCAACTATTAATGACACTCAAATGCAATATGTTTCATTGGCACAAGTGTTGATGTCACATCATCCAAGTGACACAGCTAGATTTTAAAATTTCCCAATTAGAGACAAGTATATTATTCTGCCTGTATTGTGATGTGTTCCAAACAAGATAGTTGCCATTTATATGAAATGAAAAGGCAATATGGAATTTCCCCTATTTTGCCAATTCTCAACTGCATTCCAAACAACCTTGGCAGATGTTCGTATTGTTTTTTTTTAACACTAAATTTCTTTTCAAATAAAAGTTTATTTTGAAAACAATTTTCCTCTTTATTATCGATAAATTATTATTGATAAAGATTACAATTTATATAGAATCATATTATCTACACAGCACATTTCAAAGCAGACTGCTTAACTTAATTTTAATTATATTTACCTCGTTAAGACTTCTTGTAATAGTTCCATGACAACAGCTACAGAGCAATTACAAGTAGCCTAGGCATATTCTGGCTGAAGAGGGTGCTCCAAAGCTGTTTGTAGCTTCAAACTATTGAATCTTAAGCTTGAGCCCTGGCTGTATTAGTTGTTGGTG